GGGAAAGAGCTACAGATTAGATCATTTGAGTCCTTGAAATAAATGTTGGGGACTTGATTAACTTTGTTAAATTACACTAAAAATAGATATATCCTCTGGTTCATATTACTTCATACAGAATTGCCGCATTCTGTATTTTATACTCTTTACTGGAATGTAACACAGAAGTTAGGAGTGCGTGCCTATAGTGAGAAAATATACTACCTTTTATTATTTTGGTTTGTCTTGAACTGGTTGTTAAAATGTATTTTTATTTTGTTCTCTGCCAGCTTTTGAAGACTTATTGGCTAAATACTTATGCAGAAAATCCTGGGTTGATGATTTTGCTGGGATGTAGTGCCTTCTCTAACTTATGTGGTCAGTTTGTCAGCTACCCTTTGTTCCTAGTGAGAACTCACATGCAGGTTCAAGGTGAGTTTTTGTGAGAAGGATTACAGTGTAAAAAAATCCTGTGAGGCTTAGAAATTTCCTTTTCACTTTCTGTTCTTAAGAGTCTTAGAATCCTCCTTGATTTCCTTGGGACCAGCAGTTGGCGTAATGGCTATGTGGCTGGACTCTCAGGTAGTTGAGTGAGGTTTGAGTCCTGGACCCGGAGGCTGAAACTCACGGCAGGCATGTGTGCCCGCATGCCCAAGATCCCGAGAGGAGAAGGGAGGAGAAGGGATTGCAGTGTGGCCATCTCCCCTGGGGGGGTGATTTCTTGCTTTCTGTCTCTCTGTCTCTGTCTTTCTGGCGAGCACACACACCCTATAGCAAAAACCTCTCCAAAAAAAAAAAAAAAAGAAAAGAAAAAGAAAAAAAGAATCCTCCTGATTTCCATTACTCAGTGCTGGTTTTTTTGATAAGACGAAATTAGAAAATCCCTCCAAGATGAGTGAAAATGTCATTATTTATTTCGAATTGAGTTTTAAAAATCAAATCTGAGCTTCATAACCACATGAAGATGCAATACACTGCTTCGGTGGTTATGAATGCCTCCACATTTGAGGAGTCTGGTTTATACTTAAAATCTAAGAGCTTAGGGGACCAGCAGTTGCTGTAATGGCTGTGTCGCTGGACTATCATGTAGTCAACCACGGTTCGAGGCCCAGACCTGGTGTCTTAAACTCATGCTGGGTGCATGTGCGTGCCCAAGATCCCGAGAGGAGAATGGAGGAGAAGGGATTGTGGTGTGGCCATCCCCCCTGGGGGGAGGGGGGGCGCAGATTTCTCACTTTCTCTGTCTTTCTGGCAAAAATCTCTAAAAAAAAAAACCAAAAATCTAAGAGTTCAGGACCAGCTGATAGCATAATAGTTACGTTGTTGGACTCCCACGTAGTTGACCACCTTTTGAGTCCTGGACCCAGTGGCTTAAAACTCATGCTGGGCATGCATGTGTGCATGCCCCAAATCCCGAGAGCAGAATAGGGAGGAGGGATTGCAATGTTGCCATCCTCCCTGGGCATGAAGTCTCATCTTCTGTCTCTCAGTCTTTCCAGTCAATCAATGCACTGTACCAAATAGCAAAAATCTCTCTCTCAAAAAAAATCTAACCTTTCATAAGACTGTGTTAATAAACGATTCAAAATTTAGATATTGATCTAATTGACTTTAAAACTTTTTCTGGAACATAAGATGCAGTGAATCTATCTTATATCTTAAAAAACTAAGTAAGATACTTGCAGATAATTATAGAAAAATTATTGATTAAATTCAGAAAATGAAATTTCTATATTTCAGTTCATGGTAGTTGATTATATGAACTTTTACAAATATATGCACCCATATACCTGCAACTAGATCAAGACATAATACATTTCTAGAACTTCAGTATGTTCCTTTGTGCCCCAATAAGTTACTAAACACCTCCCTATCCCAAGGTAATTACTATTTTGACTTTTATCACCTTTGGTTGGTTTGTCTGTCCTTACAAACTGTACTCTTTTGGAGAGTCATCTATTTGTTGTTGAGGGAGAGAGAGAGAGAGAGAGAGAACATTTCTAAGAAATTATATGGCAAGTAAGTATTAAAAAAAAGTTTTCAAGGGATCTTCTCTATATTTGAGAGGAATTCAGCTTTTTTTTCAGGGGTGGGAGGAGGAGAGGATTATTTAGACTAAGAGGGAAAGTGAAAAGTATACTTTTAAGTTCTGTATCAATTTTTACCTGATTTAGTTAATTTAGGGAAGAGAGAGAAGGATTACAAAGAAAAACAGTAGCTAAAGAGTTTGTGAATTTAGTGTTACAAGTTACTGCGCAATGTGCCAGAAACACAGGGTTTAGGTATAAGCAACGACATTGGTCCTTGCTCTAATGGAATTGATAGTCTAGTAGGAAAGACAGGTATTATATATTTACACAAATGTTTAGTTATAAACTTTGATAAGAGCTACAAAGGAACTGTAATAGGGTTGTGATAGGGGGATCTAAGGCAGTTCTAAAGAGACATTCTTGAGAAAGTATTGCATGAACTGAGAATTGAACAGTGAGGTGAGGTTTAATAGGCAAAGATGCAGGAAGTGACTTCTAGGCAAAGGAAAAAGCATGTGCCACTAGCCTAAAGAGGAAAGAAGCATGGGGCAAGAAAAACTGAAAAGCAGGTTATGTGGCTGGAATGTGGAAAGTAAGGAAGTTGTAAAAGTGAAGTAGGAGGAGGAAATTGAGGCCAGATCACATTCTTAAGGCATCATGACAAATTTCTGAAGCAGGAGAGTAATATAATTAGATTGACATGATCAAGAATTCACTCTGGAGCGATCAAGGTAACTCAATCTCTGCTCTAAATCCCATCTTCCAGACCCCCCAAACTTGGACAGAAGCCATTTAAATCTGTGGTGTGTCTTGCTGTGTTCAGGGACCAAGGCGACTGAATCTCTGCTCTAAACCCCATCTTCCAGATTCCCAAAACTCAGATAGGTAGAGCTACCTCTGTCCTCTCTCTGTCTCTGTCTCTTCCTCTATTTAATTATTATTATTTTTTAAAATTTTAAAACACTTCCTCTTACCTCTGACTTCTCCTTTCTCTTGTTAATTTCAAAAGCCATTTACATTGGGACCAGCAGTTGGCATAATGGTTATGTTGCTGGACTCCTTTGTAGTCGACTGTGGTTTGAGTCCTTGACCTGGTGGCTTAAACTCATGCCGGGCATGTGTGCGTGCATGCCCAGGATCCAGAGAGGAGAATGGAGAAGGGATTGCAGCGTGGACATCCCCACCCCCCGGGGGGGGTGGATTTTTCACTTTCTGTATCTCTGTCTTTGTCTTTCTGGCAAGCGCTTGCACTCTATAGCAAAAACATGCCATTTAAATCTGAGGTGTAACCTGTGGTGTTCACTCTCGTGGTTCTTATAATTTTTTTAAATCTCCCCCCCTTTTTTTGCGGTTTTTGTCTTTTTTCCCCATTTGTTTTCCTTCCTTTTTTTTTTTTCCTTTTTTCTTTTTAACCCTACTTTCTCACTTCTGTTCAGCCTCTACAAAGAGTCTAGATAGGTCTGGGTGCACAATAGCCAAGCAACTGAATACTTTCAGGGTCATAGAAATCCTCAACCCTTACTGAATTTGCTGCCTGAAAGAAGAAATTCCTCTTTATAAATCTGAATTCAAAATCTCTTTCTGTGGATATCATGTTGCAAAACACAGTAAAGGAGAGAAATTGTCACAGAAGTACCTTACAGTAAAGGGAAACACATGATCTTAAAGTTGCATAATAGTTCTTTAACCAATTAGCCAAAAGTGAACACACCCCCAAATGACTAAAATTCAGAGAAAAGAGACTGCAGAGTGAGCAGTAGGAAGAACTATGGAGTTACAGAGAGAGCAAGGTTCATCTCCTCTCCCACTCCTCTAAAGTCCCAGTTGAAACCCCGCAGCTTAGTCCAGGTGAACCTGTTCCTTAGAAACTGTAAGGCCTTTGTAACATCCAGTTCCAAAGTCAAAAGGTTGCTTGACGAGCATCAGGGGAAGAAGACTGCAGAGCGATTGCAGATCACCTACTCCCACACGCCTCTGAATGCTCAAAATAAACTCCAAGAAATTAGAAAGAAACAAATAACCTATCAGATGACCAGAAACAACTGCAGAGGTATAAGAAATAAGAGAAACAAAAAAAAATTTCTCCCCCAAGGGAAAAGAACAACACTTCATCATCCACAGACAGCACAATGGAACTCTTGGAAATGTCTGATAAGGAATTCAGAAGATTCATAGTGACAAAACTAAATGAGAAGCAAGAGATGAGAGACAATGAACTCCAGAAGGTACAAAAAAAAAAAAAAAAAAAAAAAAAAAAAGAGAGACAAGTTCCAGAAGGTGAGGGTGTTTTTCCACGATTTGAAAGAAGAATACACACCATAAAAAAGAATCAAATGGAGCTGTTAGAGATGAAGGTTGTAATACAGGCAATCAAAATACTTTTCCTCAAAAGTATTAAAAGCATATTAGGCCATGCAGAAGATCGAATTTTGGATGTTGAAGACAAAACCTCTTAACTAGAAAAAAAAAATCACCAAAAAGACTGAGAAAATAACCCAAAATAGAGCATAATATATGATAAATACTAGATACCACCCAAACATCCAGATAATCAGTATCCCAGAAGGCGAGGAAACTAGTAAGGGCATTAAAAATCTATTTCATGAAATCCTGGAAGAAAACTTTCCAAACCAAGAGAGGCACTCAAATATCCAGACTCAAGAAATAAAAAGAACTCCTAATAGAATCAACCCAAGGAGATCTTCTCCAAGGCACATGATAGTCAGATTGGTCAAATCCACAAAGACAAGATACTAAAATTGGCAAGACAAAAATGTCAGGTTACTTAGAAAGGTTATCTCATCAGGATAACATTAGACCTTTCACTGGAAACAATGCGAGCAAGAACAGATTGGGAAAATATATTAAATGTGTTAAATGAAAAACGATTTCAACTAAGATTCTCTACATGGCAAGTTATCTTTCATTTGGGAAGAAAAAATAACATTCTCAGATATACAAAACCTGAAAGAATTTACCAACACCAGACTAGCTCTATAAACACCAGACCAGCTCCTCAAGAAGTTCTGAAGGGAGGGACCAGCAGTTAGTGTAATGGCTATGACGCTGGACTCCCATGTAGTCGACCGCGGTTCGAGTCCCAGACCCGGTGGCTTGGACTCACGCCAGGTGCATGTGCGTGCGTGCCCAAGATCCTGAAAGGAGAATGGAGGAGAAGGGATTGAGGCGTGGCCATCACCCCGGGGGGTGATTTCTGTCTCTCTGTCTTTCTGGTGAGCCTCCGCGCCCTGTAGCAAAAACCTCTCAAAAAAAAAAAAAAAAAAAAAGAAGTTCTGAAGGGAGTGCTTTACCAGGAAAACTAAAGACACACAGACAGAAGTAAGAGAACAAAGAGCAACCAAGAAAAATGCTAGGAACAAGTCCAGAAATATCAATAATAATATTGAATGTTAACTTACAGCATTCTGATGGAAAGATCGTACTACAGTAACTCTGCAAGTTCAACAGAAGAGAGATTAATTACATGAGACAGAACTGGTAGAAATAGAGGTTTATGACTTTTGGCTAAAATTTACTGATTTTTTTCTATGCTTTGTTTTCCAGATTTAAGGATTTTGCTTTCTTTTGAATTATTGATAGGTTCATCAATTTGTTTAAATGTTGTTTGTCTTTGTTCTTTAAAATTCAAATGTAAACTTTTCTTCCTTCCTGACCACTCTGAAATTGAAAAATATTTGAGAGTATTCTTATTTTGTGGCAGAAGGGTTATGTGCATAAGTTCAATAATACCTGTTTTCAGAAATGGGAAATACTAGTTTTGTCAGGGCTTTGACTGGAATGTCATATCTGAAGATATGACCAGAAAACTATGGAACTAAGGTAGATCTCAAGAAAGCCAACAGAAGCTCATGGAAAAATTGCCTGGCACCATAAACAGTTCTGTCTGGTAGAGAGGATTAGAGAAGTCACAAGAAAGAATCTGTACCAGACTTTTCCAGCCTAGCATTGTAATCAGTAGAGATTGCAAAAGAACAGCTACAACTAGAGGATTGCTTTGAGGAAGACTTTGAAGGAAGAGACTGATCTTTGCTGCAGATGGTAAACCACAGAAAACTTGGTAGGCAGAGCTGAGTTGGGGAGGTCCATGTGTAAATTGTGTACTAGGCGTTTGCTTTTCAATAGTTTGAGTAGTTGAACTTGCAAATATTTTCTCAAAAATATTTAAAACAGTACTGCCTCTGTTGTTATAGAGTCACAAACAAAAACGTTGAAAGTTATCTTTAAAATTCAGCTTTTTTACATTTTGAAAGTTGTTTATTAACTATCAAGAACTATGGAGTATGGGACCAGCAGTTAGCGTAATGGCTATGTCACTGGACTCCCATGCAGTCGAACACAGTTCAAGTCCCAGACCTGGTGGCTTAAACTCACGCCGGGCACATGTGTGTGTATGCCCAAGATCCCGAGAGGCGAAAGGAGGAGAAGGGCATGGCCGCCCCCCCCCCCCCGGGGGGGTGATTTCTCGCTTTCTATTTCTCTGTCTCTCTCTGTCTATCTGGCAAGCACGCACGCCCTGTAGCAAAAACCTCCCCCAAAATAAAAGAACTATGGAGTATGAGCAAAAATTTTTTGGTATTAAATAAATGTTAGCGAGGAAATGTAAAATTAATAAATTAATTAAAAATATAATTCACTGGTTAAAGTATTGAGGAAAAAAGTGTAAAGTGTAGGTAAAAAGCCGTAAAACAGGCAAGGCAAGAGATGACAGTTTGGAGGTTGAAGGTGTGTCAGTGAATGTGGAGAAATGAGTATGGAGTTGAGAGGTATTTCGAGTTAAAAATTCGTAGATGATGGTTTGGATGTGTGAACTGAAGGATGCTTGCCAGTTTTTCAGTTTTGAAAGCTCGGTGAAAGGGGGAGCCATTCTCTGAAAAAAGAAATATTGAATGAAAAAAGAATTCCTTATTTATTTATTTTATTGGTTATTATTATTTTTTAATTTGACCAGAGACAGACACACAGAGAGAAATGCAAAGTGAAAATGTAAGCCACCTGGTCCAAGACTCATATGCCAGTCTGCCATGTAGCAGTCCAGTGCCTTTAACCACCATCCTACCTGCTGGCCCTGGGATGTTCTTAAGACATGAACTGTTGAATAAAGGTACCTCAAATTCTAGGGAATTTTTAAAATTATAAGTTGACAATGATCATATTCACCTCTAGTGAATAGACTTTGTTCTTAAAAGGAAAGAAAATTAAATAGTGATGAGCATCAAATAGTTTTATTAGAGTGTCTAATTATACACTGTGATGAACCAGAGATGTTCCCTGAGGGCTGATTATGAAAGAATTTTACTAATTATATTTCATTATCTGTTTTACTGTGTACTTTACCTTAGCCAGTACTTAAAAGAATGCTAAAATATCAAGTTAATTTGACTTTTCTCTTTTCTTTCATTTTCTACGCATACTAGGAATCCCACATCTAAATATGATCAACTTATTTTCTGAAATTTATAAAAGGAATGGAGTGACAGGACTTTTCAGAGGCATGCCTCCAAACTTCTTAAAGTTACTTCCTTCAGTGTGTATAAACTGTGTGGTTTATGAATCAATAAAACCACTCTTGGGAATATTTTAGAAATAAAATCTTAAACTGTCTTTATCTGTACCCTTTATGTAAGCATAAAATTGTCTTTGCTTTTTCCTTAAATTGCAAGAGGTCTGTAGGAAAAGTTGCTATATCCATTTTCGAAAAAGATAGACAAATGAGACTTAAATACATCAGAAATGTATTTTAATATTTTAACTTTCTATAAGTCAGAATTATAGTTTATGACTCAAAATCCTTAATATCATAAAACCTATTTAGATTTATTCAAGTTTTATTAATACCCATAGAAATATGAATTTCAGCAGATTAAAATGTGATTTATATTACCAAATATAACATAAATATGTTACTAACCTAATATTTCAAGTTACAGAGTTGGACTATTTTGAAGCTTTTTAGAATCTCCTATTTTATATTTTTAAAAGTAACATTTCAGTTCACATATATATCTTAAATGTGTTTGAAAGTATTAAAAGAAAACTAATTAATTAAAAACTATAATTAGTAGTAAAATAGTACAGTTGGAGTTCCTTTTCTTTCTCTAAACAAAACAAAATATACAGTTTTATTTTTTATTTTATTTTTACTTTTTTGGAGAGATTTTTGCTATAGGGTGCGTGCACTCGCCAGAAAGACAGAGACAGACAGAGAGACAGAAAGCGAGAAATCACCCCTTGTGGGGGTGGCCATGCCACAATCCCTTCTCCTCCATTCTCCTCTCGGGATCTTGGGCATGCATGCACATGCGCCCCGTGTGAGTTTTTTTTTTTTTGGAGAGATTTTCACTGTAGGGCGCGTGCGCTCGCCAGACAGACAGAGAGAGACATAGAGACAGAAAGCGAGAAATCACCCCCCAGGGAGGATGGTCACGCCTCAATCCCTTCTCCTCCATTCTCCTCTTGGGATCTTGGGCACGCACGCACACGCGCCCGGCGTGAGTTTTAAGCCACCGGGTCCGGGACACAAACCGCGGTCAACTACGTGGGAGTCCAGCGACATAGCCATTATGCTAACTGCTGGTTCCCTTTCGCCCCGTGTGAGTTTAAGCCACCAGGTTCGGGACTTGAACCGCAGTTGGCTACATGGGAGTTCAGCGACATAGCCATTACGCTAACTGCTGGACCCAAAATATACAGTTTTAAATAGATGTGCACGACATCAGAATACTTCAGTCTTCTGCCAGTGTCATGAATGAAATAATAGTGACCTGTAGCTCCTATTTATGGAACATTCCCATTTGGAGATAGACACTTTTAGCTTATTCCTGCCTTTCCCCCCCCCCCCGGGGGGGGGATTTCTCGCTTTCTATTTCTCTGTCTCTCTCTGTCTATCTGGCAAGCACGCACGCCCTGTAGCAAAAACCTCCCCCAAAATAAAAGAACTATGGAGTATGAGCAAAAATTTTTTGGTATTAAATAAATGTTAGCGAGGAAATGTAAAATTAATAAATTAATTAAAAATATAATTCACTGGTTAAAGTATTGAGGAAAAAAGTGTAAAGTGTAGGTAAAAAGCCGTAAAACAGGCAAGGCAAGAGATGACAGTTTGGAGGTTGAAGGTGTGTCAGTGAATGTGGAGAAATGAGTATGGAGTTGAGAGGTATTTCGAGTTAAAAATTCGTAGATGATGGTTTGGATGTGTGAACTGAAGGATGCTTGCCAGTTTTTCAGTTTTGAAAGCTCGGTGAAAGGGGGAGCCATTCTCTGAAAAAAGAAATATTGAATGAAAAAAGAATTCCTTATTTATTTATTTTATTGGTTATTATTATTTTTTAATTTGACCAGAGACAGACACACAGAGAGAAATGCAAAGTGAAAATGTAAGCCACCTGGTCCAAGACTCATATGCCAGTCTGCCATGTAGCAGTCCAGTGCCTTTAACCACCATCCTACCTGCTGGCCCTGGGATGTTCTTAAGACATGAACTGTTGAATAAAGGTACCTCAAATTCTAGGGAATTTTTAAAATTATAAGTTGACAATGATCATATTCACCTCTAGTGAATAGACTTTGTTCTTAAAAGGAAAGAAAATTAAATAGTGATGAGCATCAAATAGTTTTATTAGAGTGTCTAATTATACACTGTGATGAACCAGAGATGTTCCCTGAGGGCTGATTATGAAAGAATTTTACTAATTATATTTCATTATCTGTTTTACTGTGTACTTTACCTTAGCCAGTACTTAAAAGAATGCTAAAATATCAAGTTAATTTGACTTTTCTCTTTTCTTTCATTTTCTACGCATACTAGGAATCCCACATCTAAATATGATCAACTTTTTTTCTGAAATTTATAAAAGGAATGGAGTGACAGGACTTTTCAGAGGCATGACTCCAAACTTCTTAAAGTTACTTCCTTCAGTGTGTATAAACTGTGTGGTTTATGAATCAATAAAACCACTCTTGGGAATATTTTAGAAATAAAATCTTAAACTGTCTTTATCTGTACCCTTTATGTAAGCATAAAATTGTCTTTGCTTTTTCCTTAAATTGCAAGAGGTCTGTAGGAAAAGTTGCTATATCCATTTTCGAAAAAGATAGACAAATGAGACTTAAATACATCAGAAATGTATTTTAATATTTTAACTTTCTATAAGTCAGAATTATAGTTTATGACTCAAAATCCTTAATATCATAAAACCTATTTAGATTTATTCAAGTTTTATTAATACCCATAGAAATATGAATTTCAGCAGATTAAAATGTGATTTATATTACCAAATATAACATAAATATGTTACTAACCTAATATTTCAAGTTACAGAGTTGGACTATTTTGAAGCTTTTTAGAATCTCCTATTTTATATTTTTAAAAGTAACATTTCAGTTCACATATATATCTTAAATGTGTTTGAAAGTATTAAAAGAAAACTAATTAATTAAAAACTATAATTAGTAGTAAAATAGTACAGTTGGAGTTCCTTTTCTTTCTCTAAACAAAACAAAATATACAGTTTTATTTTTTATTTTATTTTTACTTTTTTGGAGAGATTTTTGCTATAGGGTGCGTGCACTCGCCAGAAAGACAGAGACAGACAGAGAGACAGAAAGCGAGAAATCACCCCTTGTGGGGGTGGCCATGCCACAATCCCTTCTCCTCCATTCTCCTCTCGGGATCTTGGGCATGCATGCACATGCGCCCCGTGTGAGTTTTTTTTTTTTTGGAGAGATTTTCACTGTAGGGCGCGTGCGCTCGCCAGACAGACAGAGAGAGACATAGAGACAGAAAGCGAGAAATCACCCCCCAGGGAGGATGGTCACGCCTCAATCCCTTCTCCTCCATTCTCCTCTTGGGATCTTGGGCACGCACGCACACGCGCCCGGCGTGAGTTTTAAGCCACCGGGTCCGGGACACAAACCGCGGTCAACTACGTGGGAGTCCAGCGACATAGCCATTATGCTAACTGCTGGTTCCCTTTCGCCCCGTGTGAGTTTAAGCCACCAGGTTCGGGACTTGAACCGCAGTTGGCTACATGGGAGTTCAGCGACATAGCCATTACGCTAACTGCTGGACCCAAAATATACAGTTTTAAATAGATGTGCACGACATCAGAATACTTCAGTCTTCTGCCAGTGTCATGAATGAAATAATAGTGACCTGTAGCTCCTATTTATGGAACATTCCCATTTGGAGATAGACACTTTTAGCTTATTCCTGCCTTTTTTTTTTTTTTTTTTTTTTGTGGTGGTTTT